GTTTAATTAAATAGGTCGAGCCTTCTGATACTATAGAAAATGTGAAAGCGAAGATCCAGGATAAGGAGGGTACGTTCAAGAGGCACTTACTCATTATTATATAGTGATCGAAATAAATAAATAAATAATAAATATCATATATACTATTTATGCTATGATATAAACTCCTACATTATATTCCTTATATATTATATTGATATATATCTGTCTTGTGGACTGATTTATGTCCTGCACAGATGTAATTGTCTGCAGCAATTTTTTTTTTTGTTGCAGCATGTTCTAGTGCACGTTCCTCATTTATTCCCGGTTTGTGTCACCCTTAGGCATCCCTCCGGATCAGCAGCGGCTGATCTTTGCTGGGAAGCAGCTGGAAGATGGACGCACACTGTCCGACTACAACATTCAGAAAGTGAGTAGGAGAGGCAGGAGCTGGCACAGTCAGAGCTGAGTCGCCTTTGCTGCTCAGCCTCAAAATTGTTTCCAGTATCTTCAACCAAATCCATGGATTTAGGGTTGGGGGGCAGTATTGATGCTGGGGGCTTGGGATGTCACCTTAATAGCAAATAATCCTTTTAAGAGCTTTCCTAAGTGCCTGGCACTTGAGGCCTGCTTTCTCTGGATAAAAGGAGCAAGCCTGCTTAAATGCTGCTCTTGCCTTGAGACAGCATTCTGAGCCTATTTCATGTGCCTTACTAACAGGAATCAACCCTTCACCTTGTGCTGAGACTTCGGGGCGGTGCCAAGAAAAGAAAGAAGAAGTCTTACACCACCCCCAAGAAGAACAAGCATAAGAGAAAGAAGGTTAAGCTTGCAGTGCTCAAGTACTACAAGGTAGGCAGAAATACGAAACTTGATGAAAACTCAGCTCTCAGCAGAGCTTTTAACTGCTCTGCACAGAGCCTGGTGTATTTAATATTCAGAGTCCTTCCATCTGCAAATATCCCATCTGCTTAATGAAAGAGAAACCCACTGGTGCAGCTGGGCACTTCTGAGCTTGCATTAACTGTCACAGAAGCTGCTTTGCCAATGAAAAACAGTCAGAATTCTCATTACTGCTAAAGGTGTTTGAGAGATTCTCCCTGTTTGCCCTTCCCAGGTGGACGAGAACGGCAAGATCAGCCGCCTGCGCCGGGAGTGCCCGTCGGAGGAGTGTGGGGCTGGAGTCTTCATGGCCAGTCACTTTGACAGGCACTACTGTGGCAAGTGCTGTCTGACCTACTGCTTCAACAAGCCAGAGGACAAGTGAATGTCCCCCACAATAAAGAGCTGACCTTCTGTACGGTTTTTAAGGGTCTCTTTTTCTGTGGTGCTGTGTTTCTTCTCTGCTCGTAAAGAGAAAAACCTGCAAAGCTTTGGGTGCTGCCAACTGGGATGAGGTGCTTTCTAAAACTGAAGCAAGCAGCTTGTTTTAAATAATAAGGGGTACCAGTTGCAGAGGGGGGAAAAAACAACATTACAGCTAACCTTAAGGAGTGGTCTCTTAACATGAGACAGGACAGTAGTTCTGATCTGGAAAAAGAGGAGCTCAGGAGGTCCAGAGTCATGTCTACAAGTGGGTCAGTGCTAGAGAAAGGGGGAGCTGAAATACTGTACAGCACCACCGAGGGAGGGGAAAGAAGATGGCTCAGCTATTTTGGAGCCAAAGACAGTCATCAGAAATATTTATACCATGATGGCTTTACACACCTGAAATGCTTGTACTTACTCCTGTAGTTTGTCCCATGTTCCAGTGACATAAGGTGGTTGCTTGACATGATAGAAAGGCAGAGAATTTCAGATATAAAATATACCTGAAATGCTCTGATATAAAGAAGAGGTGTAAAGCAGCTCCTGTGCATCTCTGGAAGTTCATTTAATGTTACCAGTTAAAGGCCAGCCAGGAGTATAATACACATCCCTTAGTGTTCATGTATTCAAAGGTCCTTTAAAATCCCGGGTCCCAGGAAGTTGTCTGTTGAACTTCTGTTTCTTCATAACAAATAATATCATCCCCAACGTTGAATTCCAAATTCCTGTCCAAACTCAGTCCACAGTCCATTCCTGCTTTTATTACCTGGGCATCATCTTTATGGTGCTTCAGTGATGATAAAGATCCTACAAAGAGAAAAATGCATCATAAAGGGAGCCCACCACCAGCAGAGCACAGAAGTGGTTTGGTGCAGAATTTCTTGCAGAATTCATGTTGTCATGTTGGTGGCAATTCCACTTACCTTTCCAAATAACATTCCCACTGCGGATTAACTTGAACTTCATTTTCCTGTCCAGCAGCCCCTTGTGTACTCTGCATCCAGCCACTGGAATCTTGTTTTTCCCCACTGTTACAGAGAAGGTGTCGAGAACAGAAGCTTCCCCTAAAAGAAAAAAAGTTGTACGTGGGATTAACGGACTGGCACGAGGTATAAGCAGGCTGCATTTTTCCACTTGCCAAGCTTTACCCCAACAGAAAAGCAGTTACAGAGGAGTATAAAAAGAATATTTGATACAACAGGAACTGGAGAATAAAATTCAGGCCACATTGTGAGGCAAAAATCTATCGGTCAATGCCAGCTCACCTACTGTAGTCTCCACCACAGCTGGGGGCAGTCTGCTGTTGAGCTCCTCTTTTAAGTCGTCTATAAGTTTGTAGATGATGTTGTGAAGTTTAATTTTTATTCCCTTTTTATCAGCCAGCTTTTTAATATTGTCATTGGCTTTCACACTGAATCCATATATAACACCTGATAAAGGAAACACTTGTCAAGTGGTGACTACGAGAGATCACACTTTTATAAAGAGTTCAAAGTGAAACCCTGCAGCATGGGGTAGAATTAGGTGGTCAGCAAACCAAGGAAAGCATTTTACTCCTGCTTCCTTTTTAAGGAATTTTACTGATTTTACAGCATTTTACTGCTTCTTCCACTAAGGCACATCAACTGCTACAGACCTCGTATCAAAATAATGGCCTAAGAAAGTCCTCATGGAAAGGTCCCTGAGGACAGAACTGGAGGTATCAACGCAGAAAGTAACACACACAGCTCACAGAAATGACTCAGACCTGCCATTCTGGGGCTGGAAAAACAGCTTGGTTGCCCAAAGTAAGCTGGAAGTGAATTCTAGATCACTCTCATCCACGTGTGGGCTATGGCAGGTCCAGTGACCCGCCCTCTGCAGCAGGTGGGAATTACAGGATACAAACAGGAAAATCTACTGAGTCAGCCTTAGAACCAATGGCCTCCCTGAGCAAAAGGAAATAATTTTCTAACCTACTTTTCAAGCTTTGCCCTGTTTGAGCATCACACAGCAACCTGAGGGAGCAGTCACAGTTTTAATCTTAACAATTCAGCTACTACTGGCATGGCAACAGCTCTTCCAGAGTCCTTCCACTTCCATGAGATTTCCAGCCTACACTAGTCTGATGTTCAAAGAAACATTTTTAAGATACATGTAAATTTACCTTATTGATGCTGCTAATTATTGTTAAATCAAACCTGACTGAGGCCTCCCCATTTCAGTAACTGAATAATTTCAAAACTGCAAACTGATTTTTAAACACACCATTAAAGGCTTCAGCGAGGCTCAGATCGTTTTCACTGATGTCTCCCATTCCAAAGTGGACAATGTCCAGTTTACACTCATCCTCACAATCATAGCTGTCCAGAATGTTCAGAATAGCTTCAACAGATCCATCCACATCACCTGCAGGGGTAAATGGAAGCACTGCTGACTTTGGATATAAAGGAACGTGGAATTATAACTAAGCACATGACAACTCCACGCTGTGCAGCAGAAACTCTTTTGACATCTATCACTCTTATTACATTTTCAGTAATATGTTAAAATCCATCTAACAACTCTGTTCATTCCAAAAATTAACTGGATAAATACAACAGGACCAGAGGCTCCACATCTGCTGTCATTTTTCGGGTCAAGTTTGCATCATTTTTCGGCTCCTGATGCCACTGCTTGTGTATCACCAAATGTGAGGTCAAACCAAGGTCCTCCTGTCCCACTTCAATACACAATTGTTCTCCATTTTGCTGATGCAAAATGATTATAGTTTGGGGGGTGTGTGTGTTATAATTTAGATACACAGAGGTTTATATATGTATGTATATATTTGCATAGGGGTTTACATGTATGGGGTTTACTTCTGAGTTCCTGGGTAGGAGGGTTGGGCTTCTAAGTTTCCTGTGGCTCTGGCCCTGCTGGAAGTGCATCCTTCTGTCCACTGGATGTTTCCTGACACCCCTGCCCTTGCTGAAAGAAGTTCTCTGATCAGTTTTGGACTGACCAAACTTCAGGGCACAGAAATGGTGTTCACAGCTGGCCCCGGGGCGCGGTGAAGGGACAGCACCTTTCACTATGACCGACAGCGTGTCCTCGGCCACCTCCCTCCTGTCCTTGGGCCTCTGGAACAGCAGGTGCTTGTTGGCCTTGTAGAGCACGGCCTTCCTCTGCCTCCAGGTCAGATGGGCCAGCTTCTGCTGCTGCTGCTTGTACTCCAGCCTGTGCTCCTTCTGCTTGGCTTCGATAACTTCCACGTCCTTCTTCAGCTTCTCCTGCTGTTCAACGTAGGTCCTCCAGTCTATCACTTCATGTGCCCTTTGCTGGGCAGGGAGACAGAAACGTTACCTTTAAAACATTGCATCAGAAAACTCTACAACAATGCAGTTTCATCCTTTGGCATCTTCTCTACAGGCTCACTCATTTTCCCCCCACACTTAATCACAGATTTTGCTGCACAGATGGCAGAGAATGAGCACAAGAGCTTCCTCCCTGAGCTACAACATGTTTTTATGGTAACTCTGCATCGCAGAAGAGAGTTATCCTTCATTCTTCCACATGGTGTTTATCCAGCTCTCTCTCCTAACACCCATTTCAAGCTGTATTTTATGCATATTCTTCTGTCAGAAACTAGTTCTCTCACTCTAAAGTTGAAACACTGTGGAGATGAGGACAGTCCAGCAGGGGAAAGGTGGAAAACTAAAAGGCAATATGTGAACCCTCATTCCTCTTACAGAGCTCAGGCCCCTTAATCCCCATTCTCATCTTTCATGGGATCATCCAGGTTATTCAGAATGAAAGCTCTCACTTGTTCTGCTACTCAGCTCCTTCCCTGCAGTGTGAGTTTCCCATGAAAACAGTTCTTTCCGTACCTCGGATTCCACTTCCAGGATTTCATCCCCTGCTGAAGGGACGTCCTTCCAGCCCATGATTTCCACGGGGATGCCTGGGGGGGCTGCATCCACGGCCTTGCCGTTCTCGTCAAACATGAACCGCACCTTGGCCCAGGTCTTGCCTGCAACCAGAACACAGCCCTTCCTCAGAGTTCCTCTCTGGATGATGGCTGTGGTGAGGGGACTGGTGGAGAGCAGAGGAGAGAAATGACAAACAGAAGAAAAGTGACACTTCTCCCCGTCTCCATGGTTAGTGCAGGCAAAACACAAACCAGGACGGGCCTGTGACCCCCCACGGGCAGAGTGTTCCTGCTAATAAAATTTTACAGTGACTCGTAAAACCCCCAAAACCTGCACTGTACTCTTCATTTCTGCAGAGCAGTCCAAAATTAGGCATTTGTGAACCCAGCAACAGACTGATTTTACCCACTATGTGAACCCCCCCCAAAAAAACCCCAAAAAACAAATCCCAACAACTTGCTAGAATTCAATTAGTTTTTAGAGAGGGCAGAACACGCCTTGTTCACACAGAACCTGCAAAAGGACTAAGACATTTAAGAGCAGAACGTCACGTCACACACAATTTGCCAAGAACTGTGTATACATTATGACTGTTAACTTCATCATTCCTACTGTTTTAATGGCATTTAAAAAATAAATCTGTTCTGGCATTTTAAACTAAGTCCTGTGCTCACAGGACTTCATCTCAGTGATAGGATGTATTTTCCCCCATCAGTTTAAAACTTCTTTTTCTGGCCCTCGTGCTGCAGAATAACCTTTCAAGGCTTTAATTAGAAACACTGCAAAGAAACTGTGACAGCTTTGTTTAGGGAGGTCCAAACCCCCTGAGCAGTGTCCCTGTGTTGTCACAAATCGCTCCTCTGAAGCTGTGGAGGTGCAGATAACTCACCCTTTGCCCTTGTCTTTGCGAGACTCGATCACGGTGCCCTCGACCAGCCCCGTGGCATCTGCCTTCAGCTCCAGCATCTCTGCCAGGGCAACAGTGGCTTCTGCCAGAACCATCAGGTTTTCACCCTGCACGAAACCACACACACAAAAATACACAAAAATACACAGCATTAAAGTGAGATCAGAAGTTGAAATCTTGGTGCCAAATTCCCCCACTGAAAACTCGATGACATTTACCACCCATTCAAGACTTCAGGACATCAAAGAGGCAAAACTGTTGGGCTGGGTTTTTCCCTCCACCCCCTTTTTTCTAATTACATCTTGTAAGACCACTGTGAAACTGTGCTCCTGTGATTAGGCCTGTGTCAGGAAAATCTTTATTTACCCTGGTTTGAATTTTTCCCTTCATGCACGGCATTATTACCAGCCTTGCTTTTGCACTGATTTCATACAACGAGCAAACAGCAACTGGGATTAACCTGAAAAATATCCACTGAACTTACAGAAGAAAAACAAGATATTATTGCTCCCTAAAAGCCTGAGCCTCAGAATACATTTCAGAGTGTTTCAAATAATTCTGGTGAGAGCCAGCAGCACTCACCTCCTGGTGTCTGACACCTTGCCATGAAGAGAAATAATGTATTTTGCAGTTGCTAAATAAAAGTGCATCTCTCTGCACATATCAGACACCCACAAACACCACCATTTCTTTCCACCACAACCTTACCTTGAGTGCAGAAATATTTACAGCTTGAACATCGCCCCCAAACTCCTCACAGACCACATCATGAGCCAGCAACTCCTTCTTTACTCTTTCGGGATCGGCTTCGGGTTTGTCACATTTATTGATGGCGAGGATAAGAGGAACTAAAAAGACAAGGAGCAAACTCAGCACCAGCCTAACCAAAACTCGGTGTGACCACCAGAGCTGCTAGAAAAGGTAATGGCCACCTAGAACAAATCCCTGCAGGGTGGACTCTGAGGAGGTACCTCCTGCATTTTTGGCGTGCTGGATGGACTCCACGGTTTGCTCCATCACGCCGTCCTCTGCCGCGACCACCAGGATGACGATGTCGGTGATGTTGGTGCCCCGTGCCCGCATGGCTGAAAAGGCTGCGTGCCCAGGAGTGTCCAGGAAGGTTATCTTTTCCCCAGAAGGCATGTGCACTGTGAACAAAGGGACATGGAACAGCTGAAAATCAGCGCTTCACCCAGCTTTATTCGATGCAATCAAGCGTCGCTCCTTTGAGAACTTCTTTAATACCAGTGACAGGTTTTAGGCAGACAGATAACTTGGCACGGAGGTGGGAGGTGCTGCTAAATCCTCAGGAGAGAAAAAGCATCCTGGGATCCTCCTTAATCCAAAAATAGTCTAATTTCAACTGTGCAGACAATTCACTTCCAAGTTCCATCTAAGTAATCCTGACAGTTATCAGCAACAGACACATCATCATGTTACAGTTTCCTTCTTCACCGCTTACACAGCAACTGGTTTTGTGGCAGCCTTTTCCCCCAGTGACCTGGCAGCAAGTCAGCCAAAGTAAACTGTGTCCAGCATGCCCACGTGCAGCCGGGTCTCACCGAGGAAAGCCCCGATGTGTTGTGTGATGCCTCCCGCTTCCATGGAGGCCACCTGGGTTTTGCGCAGGCTGTCCAGTAACGTCGTCTTCCCGTGATCCACGTGTCCCAGGATGGTGACAACGGGGGGCCGTGGGGTCAGCACTGCTGGGTCTGCAGGGGGCCTGCAAGGACAGCACAAATGCCAGAACAATTCTGAGTGACAGGCATGCCCACGTGGCTATAGAAGAGCCACTGTGAGTATTGAGATTCCTCCTCCTCACAAATCCCAGCTGCACCACAGCCAGCCCTCCTCGTGCTCAGTGCTACTGAATTAATACCCTGAATTAATGCAGCAATCCAGGGTATCAAAGAATTGGCTTTTCTTCAGAGTGTGGCATAGAAAAACCCCACCTGAAACCAAACCTGGCTAACTAAATCAAAACAGTAAACTTCACATTTTAAATATTATCATATTGTGACTGTATCGGGGATTATCAACACCCCATCACAACAAAGAAAGACAGGACATGACAAACACCTGCAGGAAGAAACAGAAGATAAAGAGCCAAAAAGAGCAGTTCCCAACTTGCCTTTTCACAGCATCTGTGTTTTTTCTTTCCTTCTCCTCTTTCAGTTTTGCTGATTTGTACTTCATTCCTGACTTCTGAACAATCATCTTGATGTGGTCTTCATACAAGATGGAATCTGGCTCCAGTGAGTCCAGATCAACGTCCGTGTACAGCAGTGCTTCATAAATATGGTCTGTGGGAAAGACAAAGGCATTTAACAATGCCACCCTCAAAAACATGTGGGACAAAAAAAACCAAACCCAGTTCATACAGTGTAAGATTTTGTCATTAGTGATTTGTATCGTGCTGTTAAGTTTCATTCACAAAGCACTTTTCCTGTAGTTAGATTGATCTAAAAGTTCCCGCTACACCACATACTTGCAGAGAAGAACTTGATGCAGAAGGATTTACAGAACCTGAGTGCCTTATCAAATACCATCATCTTATTTTTCCCTCAGATTTTCACACCTTACTTTTCCATTAAACCCCCCAAAAAGAAAGCAAGGGAAACTCATCTAAACCAAACAGCAAAGGAGTGACTCAAGGAGGAAGCAAATCTGATAATTCAGATCATTTGCTGCTTTCTTTGGTAGCAGAAGCACAGAACCCACTGCAGCAGTAAGAAATCGTTACATGCTGACCTAGGGACTGTCAGAAAGGTACAGCAAGACATGACAGACTTTTCTGCTTCTCTCCTCATTGCTGAGAGGGAAATTTGCCAGAAAAAGTCCCCAGCTGGATAGGAAGAGACTGGAGATTGGCATTATACAGCTGCAGAATTATTTCAAATGTCAAGAGGCAAAGCATGCCAATAACCCCCCTAAAATATAATTTAGAACTGGTCAAGCAGAGCCACCATAGAGCCAGGAATGTTCACGGGGTCACAGGAACAAACCTACTCCTGTGACCCAGTTGTCTGGGCAGTCACTTAAAGAGGGAAGTGATTCCAGACAAGCCTCGCCCACTCTGAGCTAATCAAACCACTGTTTCAATGAAATAGAAATGCTCCTGGACCCCAGATCCCTACTCCCAGGGCTAGATTCCAGGCTGAAGGTCTCTAGTCATGAGTTTTTAACTCCCAGGGGTTCAGCTCTGACAAACCAGGGTGCAGTGTTTTCCTTCCCAAGTAATTTAGCCCCTGAGAGCCCCAGGCACGAGGAGCAGTTCCCCTGGATCCTTTCTGCTGGAGATGGGAGGCAGCCCTGGCTCCTTCCCAGTTAAATGTCTGGCCCAGTGATTTGGACAGCCCAACTTCTTTTGTGTGTACCAACAGCTCCTTTGGGATGGGACAACCTCCCTGGCTAAGGGAGGGATTAACAACCACTAATTAACGCCACTGAAGACACCTCTGCCTCTCCCACTCGTGGAAGAGGTGGGGCAGCTCTCACTGCTTCAAGCCCCAGAGCAGCCTCTCACCTATGTCTTTGCCCATGGCTCGTGCCAGTTCCTCAATAGTCATCTTCTGCCTTATCTCCACTTCACCTCTCGTCAGGGGGAACTTCTTTTTCTTCTTTTTTGTCTCCTACATGGAATTAGACACGTATATAGGAACACAGAGCTGGCATAAACTAGGGAATGACAAAAACAACATTAAGAAGACAGTGGTCTCAAGCCATAGGAGGTGAACACATCTTTTTTACTAGAACACCAATGAATTTAAATAAATAAAAACGACTTACACATCACAATGGACATTTAAAACGTGTAGCACGCAGCACAACTTTTTTTCATTTTTTATTTTTCAGATTAAGGGCAAAAAAAGTCAACAAAATCATTTTCATGTTTGGGTTTTAATAATTTCTTCCTGCCTCTGCAAAATTCACAATGCTACTGGTCTAAGTCACTATTTGAGAGGGAATCACAATAAAGTCGTATATTAAGCACATTTTGTCTGATAAATTTATAACAAATTCTCTACATTCACGAATAAAGCTCTTTAGTTTTAATTTAAAAGTTCAGGCTGAGCTCCTGCACTTTTCACACAAACCCAGGGATTACTGGGCTTTGGAAATTACCTCCTTTGTGGCCAGATGTCTGCGCTGGGCTAAGGCAGCACCGATCACTCTGTGGTTTTGGCAGAGCTGTGGGCGCAGCAGGACGGGGCACAGGGGGTGTGCAGAGGCCTGCACAGGCTTCCATTGTGCCCCCCAAACCTTCCTGCAGGACAGGGCCCGGAGCTGCCTGCAGGCACCACGGAGCTGCACCAGGCTCTCCAGCCTCAGCACCAGCCCTCGGTTCATCTCCTCACTGCAAACACAAAGGGCACACTGAGACCAGGAGCTGAAACGTGTTCTTCCTCGGGATAAAACGGACAGGAACACAAGGCACAAATGTTATGGTTCCAAACAGGCTTTTTAACACTTAAAAGAGTGAACTATTTAGCAACTGTTCTGGTTTTTCTGTTTCCTCCAGCGCTTCCCCTTTCTCCACTACCCTACTGCAGACACACCGATCTACTAAGAGCTTACAGATCTTTCTTTGATATAAACTACTATAAACTACTCTCTTTCACTGATCTTTGATATAAACTACTAAACCCTCCATTTCGGGTTCTTTGACATCTGCTAGAAGGAAAGGGACATTTGCACTCCTTGTGCAACACTGACAGAGTCACCCAGGTGTGAGCTACTTCTCTAAGCCCACGAAACACACCTGCAAAATGCTCTTTACCTGAGCATTTAAAGAGAAAAGCACCACTCAAAGACCCTAGCACTGCAATAACACCAGTGCTGTCGTGTGGACAGAGATATCCTTTGAGGATAAACCTTGGCTCAGCAACCAGGCTTCCCAGGGTGCTTCTGCCAGATCATCCCACATCTTGTTTTAACCATCTTAACTTTGGTTTGAGCCTTTTTGCTAATTATCCCATACAACAATGTCCTCCTTTGAACTTCTCCTGTTGCTCAGAGCTGCCAATTCTGCACTGGCCCAGGTTGCCCGGAGAAGCTGTGGTTGCCCCTGGATCCCTGGGAGTGTCCAAGGCCAGGTTGGACGGGGCTTGGAGCAACCTGGGCTAGTGGGAGGTGTCCCTGCCCATGGCAGGGGGTGGCACTGGATGGGTTTAAGGTCCCTTCCCACCCAACCCATTCCACGATTCCGTTGTGCCCAGGGTGCCTCTCCCAGGTGTCCCGGTACCACCTTCCCGCAGCTCCAAAGGCAGGGAACGCTCTGGGCTCCCCTCAGGAAGGCTGCAAGCCCTTTAAAACCTCCCTTGCACCCGGGTACCTGCGGGAAGTGACCCGACGACAAACTAACCAACCAAAACCAGCTACTTTGGGGTTTTTTTTGTTCCCTTAAAGGGGCTGAACGTGTAAACCCGAGGAATCTCGGACCTGCCACAAGACGCTGCCTACAAACACAGTCAACACAAGGTCAAGGCCACGCCGGACCAACCCACAGCGGCGAGACCCCCCCCCGCGAGGCTCTGCCTGTGGA